AATTAAATCTGATACAATGTTTCAGTTTGATAGTTCCGAATGAATGGGAACAAAAGTAGGAGAAGACAAAGTGGTCGGGAAAAACAAAACCAATGCGAGAGGGAGAGAGACAGGAGTGGAAAGTGTAACCATTTCCTCAGGGAAGGACACGAGTGGGCGGGAACAGACTGACTGAAAATGAAGGATTGAGAACCAGTTTTATAGAACACGAGGGGTATGTGACAGTCATAAATAGGTGTACAAAAAAGACATACAACTGTGACCAGAATATGAGAACTGAGACTAGGCGCTTGCGTAAATCGTGTGGTCAGGCGGAAAAAGTGATGAATAGAACTGTACGTTTGTGTGTGTGTATGGTACCACGGACTTGTTTCCGAAAACAAACGACTGAATGGGATCAAGAACGGGGGGAAAATTGAAACGAACGGGGAGAATAGTATAGGGGAAATATTATGAATGAAGATAATAAAGTGCCATAAATCGGGATCCTGATAGTTTGACGAGGATCAAATGAATGTGAAACTGTGTATGTGCATATGAATTAGGTACAAACAGACTCGTGCACGTGATATATCAAGGCACGGTAAGTGGATAGAAGGGATTTCGCAAAGAACAAATGAAGTACGAAATGGGTTATGGAAAAGAGTCAAGCATAGCACTCATTGTGTGCATGCGTTGAAAACTGAGTGAGAGACGCAGACAAAGAATCAATGAATGTTCAGATGAATGATTAAATCAATGAATAAATTCGTGTAGGTGAAAAGGATAATTGGAATACGAACAGATAGTGTTTCTTTTCTGGACATGGATGTGAGCGGGTAGGAGACAGAGAGACTGGCGATCAGGTCCAGAGAGAGAGGATCAGATGTGGGCCCGATGGATGGATGGAGAAAGACGGGGGAGGGGGGAAGATGAACAAGAAAGTTGTGAGCAATCTGACGACGGTGCGTTGGCTCATGTGTGCGCTGAAGTTGAAGCGAACAAAAATGAAGAAAGGCAGTGAGTGATTGGTCGGACGAATCAATGTAGCGTGTTCCCGGCGGAACGGGGCTGAAATGGGATGGGGTGACAAGTGGAACGAGGGGAAACAATAACACAAGTGTCAGCGAACTAGAAAGAAAAAACAAAACAAATCATAGCTCACTGAAGAAACTAGTAATGAAAATGAATATTTTGCGGATATCACAATTCTAACGGTGAAACTGATTTATCATCAAAAAGCGCTACAGGATTGCGAATCACAACTGTCATCAAATAACATACGATCAATCTGGAATCGGCAATTCTGGTCACACCCCANCCCCATGTGCGCTGGTTGGTATACGCGATAATTAATCTAAGAATTACACGCTGTGATTTTGGATGAACTCTTTCGGTTGCCGATATTGATGAAGTAATGGTAATACGCCACGCACGAGAAGGATCTGGATTTCAAATCCCCGACGGGAACGGGTGATGATCTCTAACAAGAGAGAAACTCAATTCTACAGTTTCCTGAGCGCACGCTTGATTGGATTAAATGCAAATCATTTGGCTGTCTCGCTTCTCTTCTTGAATGGCTTGCTGATTACGTTTCGCAAAGATATCAGTGTGTTAAATTGTGAAGACGGTCAAACGCATCACTGAATAGTTCGGGTGTACTTCAAGGTGTTGTACTATCACCCTATCTTTTTCCGACTTATATCAGTAACTTACCTATTATTCCCGCTGTACGACACTTTAGGAATGCTGAGGACATCGCCATTTCTGTTTCCGTATCTAACCAATCAGAACTGGTTCAATATACATAACACAAACCTATCCCACCTCGTTTCATATTCCACTTCATCTGGTCTCAATCTTAATCCTGAAAAATGCCTTGAATGTATTCTTACTCTAAATCATCCCCTATCTCCCTCTGACAATGTACAGATTCATGGAAAGCTGACGAGCAGGGTTAGCCATGTGAAGTACTTAGGTGTCACATTTGAAACTAACTTTCGCGGGTCCTTACATACACAAACTGTTGCTCGCAAGTCGAAAGTTCTGTCTTTCACTTCTGTTCTGACTTGTCGGTGATAAACGCTTTCGTTCAACAATGTGTCCTCCCTTTACTGCTCCCCTGTAATTTTCCCTGGTTTGCTGAAGGCTGATTTCAAGTTTCTGAGGCGTGGCCTCGCAATGATCAGCCATATCTCCCAAGTTCCGTTATCGTTACTGACTGGCAATATGTGTAATGCCCATATTGGTGAGTGCTGACAATATTCTATCTGGTTTCACCCATCTTCTACACACTGACCTGTGTGCATGTAAATCTCACCCCTCCCACCAAGTCTAATTGCAAACTTATCCCGTCTCGCATTTCTGCATACAGATACTCTTTGATACCCTATCTTGCCCCGATACTGACCGACAAGGAAAGTGTTCGTTCTGAGCTTTCTAATGCACTTGGTAATTAACTCATATTTTTGTACGTTTCACATCCCACTTTTTCACCCTGTTTTTACCAGAATTGTAACGGTGATCTATTTTTTGGCTGAGAAATTGTATATAACTCGATAAGGCTTGAATACAATAAAATACAGTACAACTGTGCTCGAAGATAAATTATGGAGGGTGGCTAGTCGAATTACTACTTATAAGTAACCGCAATTTTAATTCAAATAATGCGCGTTTTATATAAACGACAGAGGGAAAACAGCACGGTAGTCAAACCGGACAACTATGAGATATCTTGCGTCACTATTCAATGCAGCTGGATTGATCAAAACCAACAAACACAGACCGAATAGTATCCGTTTGACGGTTGAAGTGCTAAACAGGACCGAATACCGCCAAGAAAGATGCCTCCTCCTTGATCATCTTTTGAAACTGATTTATACTTTGGACGTCTATCAGACTTTGAATTGATGTTAGAAGTTCGGGAGATCAATCAATCTATTTTATCAACGATGGCATTGTTGTGCCTTGGCCATCAAAGATTCGTTAGCAGTGTTTAGTGGTGGTGCATCGTGCTGAGTCCCAAACCGCAAACCCTCGCCATGGAGCTAAACAGTGGACGACTAGACCATTGAGTGCTTCAATGAAATAATTCCTGCTGTGGGGAATACGCACAACACATGAAATACAAACAGGAAACAAACAACACATTTTGGCGAAGAAGTAGAGGATAGAATAAGAATGCTGGAAGCAGTATCGATGTGAACGAAGAGAATTTAGTTAAATTAAAATGAATAACTGCACGAACATCACTGTTGAAAACACAAAGCCATAGCAATCAGTGCAGCTAACCATCGGCTACACTGATCCCGAGGTCCCTAATCAGGATGTAACCGAGTAACCATTTGGTTACGGTTTTCATCCCCTCACGCCAGAGTAAGGTTTGATCACCGTTGCCTTTGTTCCATCGATTGTCTGCCTCAACAAATATCGAGGAAAAATATAGTTCCATAGTTTCACAATAAAAATATCTACTCAATATGTTAGCCAGGTAGAATTTTTACTTCTGCATCGACTCAATATCATGACTCTATTGTCTGCTATGCGAGCGAGCGTCTTAATCACTTTGATATCACACTGTGAATCTTGTCCAGACTAAGTAACATTGTGCACTTCCCGATCAAACTATGCATGTTCTTCGTCAATAAACCCGATTTATTCTGTGCATACCATCGATCACCTAAGGTATTGCCCAATCATAACAGCACAAGATTTTTCGCATTCTCAACTTCATGATATGATGGGAACATTTTTGAGACTCGGGAAGCTGGTCAATGAAACCCATGCTATCACTTTCAAGCACTGATTCGTCGATATTCTACTCCTACTGAATTGATTGTTTGATTTTTTGTTATCGCGTGTAACGCATCAACTAACCTGTCGTTCGGGAATCGGTGGAGCGATATCATCTCCATCAAGCATAATGGCACGACAACTCCGATCCGAAGGGCCTGTGCGATTGGGGACGGGAGGACGAGGGTGCGGTGGTAAACTGGGCCGTTGATTCGACTCCGGACGGACCATAACTCGCCGCGAACGTCGATTGTATGTGGATGTGGACAGGGTCGTTGGACTGGGAGGGACAGGGCCGTCTGAAATTTCACTGGAACTGGGTCGTCGGGACAAATCGATCTCGCTACGCGACGGTCGTCGCTCGGTCGGAGTTTGCGGTTCTAAGAAACCGGATTTGCTCATATTTGGTCGCTCAGGGATAGGAGGAGGTTCGGCGCTGAGCAGATTGCTAAGGGTTGTGTCAGCTGGAGTAGCTGGTGAACCTGTGAAAACAAATATGCAATGCAAAACAGTGTCATAGGCTGCAAGACAGGAGGCACGAATTACTCGCCAAATTGATGCAACAGCCCAAATTTGATTAGACAACTTCTAATGTGTGAGTCAAAAGACACACGAATAGAAATTGTTTGTTAATCCGACACGCGGGGCCAGAGAACAAACTGGCGGAACAAGAAAACGGTGCCTTTCTATCACACATTATCGCCATGAACGGAAGAAGGGTTGCACCTCAGTGGCCCTAAGATCTATACTGTTCTCTTCTGTGATCACGGACAAACCATACGTTGGGACTTGGAGTGGCGGACTACAAACTGTCGTGAAGGGTAGGCGTGACATTGAGTCGGGTGACAGCTAGGCTGCCAACCGAAATTAGGTCATAGTGATGATGGTGGGGTATGAACCTCAAACATTAGGACCCTAAGCACACTAATGATAGTGGCTTGAACGACGTGACCGCTACAACCACCGACAATAGTGTTCATTATGGACTGTCGTTCCAAAAAACAACATCAAATTATTCGAACTGTATATCGCAGATTCGATTTTTACCCGGCCCTAGTTGCAAAACCAGAAGAAGCTCATATCATTTTTCGCAAGCCTAACTCTCCAACATAGCATACTGGCATCTTATATCTTACACGCGTCTGAGTGATGATTATGGAAAAATTACGGTATGAAAATATTTATGACACAGAACTTGGTCTATGATCTGTGCCCGTGAGCGGAATACTGCCAGGTTTCACAAACCTAAGCAGGTGAATTTTCTTGGAGGATTCACAACTGCAGCCTTTGTCAAGTCAAAGCCCGACTCGCAAGGTAGCGGGGTGTTGACTGGAAACCGTCATCCATTGTGGGCCGATGTCCCCAGTTCATCGGATCATACACCTTTCAGACAGAGTCGAACGTCCACGGTGCCCAATATAAATAGATGTCCGTGAAGATGGTGATCAATGCCACAACTAGGTAGGTGTGTGGTTCGACGGCTACTTCGCAGTTGCTTTGCAACCAGAGTTTGCAGCTGTCAGTCATCATAATTATCAACATCGAACAGCGAGATACAGTGAAGCTCGCTTCACTGATCGTTGTCAGTAGCTGTCAGTGGTGGTTCACCAATCTCATTAAAGCTCTGGATATTGGCTTTTCGTCCTCTCACTTTTGTGGGAAACACCTCCGCCAAGTGAATGCCGTGAGCAAGGTTTCCTTAACAGAGCCTATCCGATACACTTGACCGTATAGGAGAGATTCGCGATGCGTAAGGGAAGGGTGACTAGAACCCAACCCAAAACACTCACCCCCGATTATAAAGAGGCAACAGATCGGAATTAGGCGATATTTCCACGGCGCTATCAGAGAAGTCTGAAAATCAGTCAGATAATCCGGACAGGTCAAAACACAACAAACAAATCGAGAGTGAAATGCGGTTTCACGGCACAACCATCTAGACAAGCCGTTTGCAACTCCAACCAAGGTTTAGAATTGAGCTAGATATCCGGGATGTTCGTTCAGGGCACAAGAACATAGGCTGAAAGTCTGTGACCATAAACCATTTCCGAATCAGTACAACTACATCTTCAAATTAAGGTGGATTCAGATTTTTTTAAAGCAGTACCATTATTCGGGTATTCCGGGTCAGACAGAAACTACTCTACCCTCTCTGTTTTTATCCTGATAGCGCTGAGTGCTATCCGCTACACAGTTGAAGAGGATCGGTTGGATAAGCTTAACTAGCTCACCCTCTCTTTCACTATGCCTCTCCAGAGAACACTCGTTGATGTTGAGGCACGAAAGGAATTGATTGAAATGTCGAGTCACAGGAGATCATGAGATCATCAAACAATCTGAAATGCTCCTAATTCTCATATTACCTACGTGTGTAGTTGGGAATTTTAGATCACGATTTGTTTGCTTTGTATAGCCGTAGTAGTTCTACGAAAAAAGCCACTGCGAACTGTGTTGCTCATTGGGGGAGACAACATTGCTAGAGGTAAATCTGCAACAGTTGGTTTGCGGATTGACGAAAGAGTCTTGACTAGTGGTCAAGGAGTTCGTCAGCCTGTTCGAATTTGTTTTGGTTACAACGGTAAATCCACAAATCTGTACCCGGCTGTTCTGTTCATTTTTGAATGTCGCCAACTTCTTATACTACTCACATTATCTGAGTAGTGCCTCACTACAGTAGTAGTAATATTAGTTCTGACTTATGAGAACACATGTTAGCAAACATTTTGTAGTCAGACAGTCGATGTAGCACTGAATTCACAAGCTTGTTTGCTAACCTGTGTTTCCATGACCACTCAATCGTTAATATTTTCGTAGTCATCAGTGAGGCGGGAATCAGTAGGTAAACTATTGACCTTAGGGGATTCAATCTGAGTGTGGTTTATTTTCTATCGAAATAACCTGTGAAATGAAACATGAGACAGGACGCGGATTAGTTGTTCAATTCTGCCCCGAGGGAACGCGATTCAATGCACCATAAACCTCTTCGAGATTGTATGATTTACTGGCCCCGGGAGTAGGGCCGAGTAATGGTGGTTTCCTGGTCAGATTAGATCAACTGAACTATTTTCACGTTTGTAAAGGTACAGAGTAAGCGCATGCTTGTAGGATACCGTTTCGGGGAAAGCATGCCAGTGGAGACAGAGAGCGAGAGTATCAAAAGGCTATCAACGAGTAGGAAAATGTAGCGATCATCACATAAGTACTGAGCGGATAAAAGGAAAAAACCATCCTGAAATAATTATCATCAAGGAACCGGCTCTTACAATCTCAATTGAAAAGAGACAGGCAGAGAGAAAGAGCGAGAGCGTACACGTGTAAACGTATGCAACAGGTTGTGACACTTACTATCACCGGTTTTGAAGGACATCATATCGATGCTTGGACGAGAATTGACCTGGGTTGAGGTGGGCGAGAAGAGCACGAAAAAGAGTAACTATTAGGCACAACAAAACCGGTTTGAACAGAAGCAGTATTGCGCACGTCAAACGAACAATGTCGGCTGATCGGATGCGGTGTGGACGGAGTACGAGATGAAATTCTAAAAAACACGAATCTAGCAGTGCCTTGCACACGGCATAACTGACCGGTTGTTATGATGAGTAGCATGGCTGTTTCTAGGGAGAGGAAAAATTAGGCGGGAAACACATCATTCCAACGCACACAGAACAAAATCTTCGAGAGGTAAATAACACAACACTAGTGGTTTCACATAATTGCTGATAAACCGACAACTAGACGGGGAACATTGACACACGAAATTCACTGTTCAACTCATCACTTCGAGTGAATCGCCTGATTTGCTTGACCCACACATACAACCAGTCAAAAGCCAAAAACGTTAATCTTGCATTGATGTCAGTTTCGCATACAGCTAATCTCAAGACTATGCAGTTCCCTTCTAATCGTAAGAATATCTTCAAGGGATACATACTTCTAGTCTTTTAGGAGTTTACGGTAAGTCAAGCGACGCAATCAAAAATGGTAGATGTATTCAATAAGGATTCTACATTCCACCGGGCAATGGAGGCTCGGTGGTGAAGTCACCAATTTATCACCGTTGAGGACGCGTGTTCGAATCCCATCACAACCGCGTGACTTTCGACATTGTGAGTTGTATGATAGGCCTTTGATTGGCCGATCCGCCCTCTCCTGAAACTGGTATCATTATGTATTCAATAAAAAATGAAATAGAGGGAAAGTTCGCATTTTCTGTTCCATTTTGACATGTCTTAAGAGTCGGAAGATGTTTCTGGTGGGTATCGGTGGAACAGTAATGGTTTCTCTGATATATGCTTATGATATTGTTCCATGGATGCAGGATGCAGTGCGAAATGCACGCACCAGACTCAGTCGGTTCCCTCGAACTGATGCACTGCCCCTCGCGAATTACAAGACGTTTTACAAGTAAACCTGATTCAAGATTAAATGACTAGTGTTGGACTGTGATGTCAACGTCCTTAATCTGAGAATTTGCGAGATAAACACTTGTCTAGCGTACCATACTCCACGTATGGGGATGCTACTACCAATATCCAAACCGGGAACAATACCGGCTTCGTAAAATGAAGCTTGTGTTACATAATTACGACCACAAACCGAAAGATTGAGACATTGTTGCTTGCAGTTTTCTTACATCACCAAGTGTGATGAACATCAGAGGGTTTCAACATGGAAAAAATCAAGAAACACTTTGCTCAGCAACGGAAAACCCTCTGCTTCAGACCAAATAAATTTCTTGTATGATGAACGTTGTATTGATCCAAGTGACAGAAAGGTTTTCTATCATCAAAGACCCAAACAAGATCAAACGCTTTCTACTATGCATCCATAGGCGGGAGTATGGATTTATTCCATGCGCTTGAACCGTTCGGTTTGTGTGCGTGTGTGTTGTGTGCTTCTTCGTGAATCACAGTTGCTACGCCTGTGTTTGTGAATACGAAATTCCCGGAATATACCAGAGGCACATATTGAATGAAAACACAGTTCAGCGAACAAGTTTATTTCCGGTGACTCATCATACGGCCTGGTTGAGCATTGGTGTGATTAAAACTATTACAAGTGCCGTCGTTTCACAACCTCGTTGAGTCCGAATACACAGTGAGTGTGATTGGAGCATTTTGGCCTCTCCACTGTGTTCGGGGTCGCAGATCAAAGCCGATTAAAATTCGCATCCTAGCCACTGAAGAAGTGGTTGAAATTCGTCTATATAATCCCCCTTTGTGCGCCCAAAAACAATTTGTAAAGTCACTCAACCTATCATGACCCTCAACCCCTCTTCCTCCCCCAATCCAACCCCAAATCACAGAAGTAATACGGACAAAGCGTAAGTTCCTATGGTAGGATCAGCCATTTTCGGTTTCGTGAAACAGAAAACAACAAAAAACCCCATTTGAATAATCATCAAATTTTTTCCTCTTTCCGTACGAAATGATGTTGTATAAAATGTGACGTATTAGTCAGTTACCCAGTCACCGAAAGTACAGAAGTTGTCAGCATACTTCAAATCGGAACGTCGAAAAGCTACACTTGCATTTGGGAAATGTGTTTTGTCGCTTTATTGCTTTCGGATTGATGTCCGCCCCCAGGTTAGATAGATTTCCTTTATGGCCGTTGAAACAGGCAGTGGATCCTTCGTTCCATCACCCACTCCGGAGTATGTCTTCACATACCGCGGGTCATCTCACTGAGGTTAGGTTCAATCAGGTTCAGTTAGCTCGCTTATTGAACGGTATACCGGGGGTACGGTTGTTCACGCATGTGTTCAGGCTGTTGTTGGAGTCACAGTTTAGAATTGGATAAGTGTCAGAGACCTCTACCCCCTTCCCGGAGGACACAACAGTCAACCAAACTATAGGTACTATTAGTGTCAAAACCCCTTACATCTCCGCTACCTTGTGGGCCATGTTCCAACTAACTGAATACCCTTGTTCTTGTTCATTTTAGGATATGAGAATTTACGTTAGACGGGCTCGAAGGTAAGACCTGTGCGTTTCGTGTAGCCGTGACCAGTCTTAACTANAGGTTGTGACTGCCTCACGTGATTCCGCTTCACGTTGATTGTAATTCACAAAAATCAGGCGGTGTGGAAAGTCAAACCCGATTGTGACACGATAAATACGGTGGTATTTTGAACTGCGAATGAGTGTAACTGGCGTTCTCTTCCAGATCGAATGTTGAGCGAATAAAAGCTTAGCGACACATGTCAATGTTTATCTGAGAAATCGGTCACCGAGACGAACGAATGCATTCGCAATGTGAATCCTCCTCACTGGGGACTGGAGACGAATAGCACACGCAACGCCAGTGCCAACTTACCCGGTGTCGTTCAGATCGGATAGTAGCTGTGGGATCCGAGGCCAGTCCACTATCGAAGCGATGGAAAACACGAGATGTGGTCGGTTGAGCCGAACTGGATGCAAACGAGACAAAGTGGTGAGGAGAGATCAAAGTGGGCAAGGGATTGAGGTGAAAGAAAGACAAGATCAGACACATGAACCGAGTGGGCTGGAAAAACAAGCCATACATGGGCTCGTGGGACGGATAAAACAGGCCGAAACGGGTTAGTGGTAGTAGTAGTAGTAGTAGTCAGTGAATCAGATTATGAGGTGGAGGAGGAAGGAAACAGAGCAGATTGTCACAAACAACACACGCGATGATAAATAACATGCTGGAAAGCTGTTTCATTTCGAAAGCAAACACGCGCGCACGCACGCACGCACACAAACACGAAAATCCCACTTCATCCTGGAGAAATAAAACGACAGTCAGGAGAGTGTGGAATAACGACCATAACAAAACAAGAAATTTCACCCGCACAGCAGTCGTAGTCAAAGTGTACCAAAAGCCAGCGACCCGCAGAGAGAGGAAGGAAAGGATAGCGCTTGTGTTGCAATTTTTGGTGCTTCTGTGGTTGGGGAAGGAGGGGGAGGAGGCAACATAAATGCTGCAGAAAACGCACACTGAAGAGCACAAATTACGTCACTCTTCGACACTGGTCATAAAATAGAAGGAGGATATTCGTGTTGTCAGGAGAACACGCCATAGCAACAGTAAAATACTCGGAAACCAATAGTGCCAATGAAAAAGGATCACTTCTCTAATCCCCCCCCAAAACCAAAAAAAAGCCACTGTCCGAAGCTATTCGCTTGGCTCATCGAAAATTGAGCATCTAAAGCGCCTCTAATCCGGGAATTGAATTCGAAGGAATGTGGGTCAATGTTGTCAACAATTTGACCCTACGGACTCGGTGTCTCCATCAAGCTTCCAAGAATGTGAACCTCATCTGTTTGACGGATTTCCCGTCAAGGACAAATGAGGCAATAGCAGGATACGATCTCTCTCGCGCTACTACACATNTAAATGTTGAATGAGGTAAGCGCAAATATGTAGCTAAAATACAGGAGGAGCATGATAGCAGTTTGAGGGAGCGGGGAGGGGCAAAAATCGGAGATGAAGCTAGCAACCTCAACCGTTTCGGGGAAGGGGAAGCGAGGGAGTGAGGCAACGTACGGATCACTTCGAAACCAGTTGAACCC